GGGCTCAATCCGGCTTCCGGATACTCCGAAACCCTAATTTGCCTTATCGGGAATTCAAGAAATTCCTGAACCAAAAACTCGTTTTAAAGCTCTAAATCGATAAATCACGATGAATAGATGAATTAGGCATTACCTACGGGATTTTTGGATTGCTAAAGCTCAAGAATCGAGCTCGGAGAATTTCCTGCTCTCTCCCCTGCGCGCCCTGTTTCTCAAACTATCTCTCGGTTCTTGGAAAAGAAAGAATGAAACGATGATGATGGAAATAAAATGGACGGGAGGTTATATATATGGCCCGGTCGCTTTAATGATATATATATATATAATTAATACGTATATTTATCCGATCGATCGATAATTCGATTTTTACCGAAATACTATCAAAACGCTCGATTTAAAATCGTGAAATTTTCTAGCGACAGTAATACGATTTTAGCCAAAACGGGATGTTACAACTGTCCCAAGAGAAGAGGGCAACAGAAGAAACAAGGTTCAATTGCCGTGGCAGAAGTGGACAACAGTTCTGAAGACAATCTCGCCTTGGCTGTAGATGAGAAGGCACATCATGGTGATGTGTGGTTTCTGGATATTGCAGCCTCATATCATATGTCTCCGAACAGGGATTGCTTCACAACCTACGAGCAGATAGATGGTGGTAACGTGGTCATGGCTAATGGAGATGTCTGCAAGGTTGTTGGAATCGGGTCCATAAAGGTTCGGACACATGATGGTTCATTCTGTACCGTGAATGATGTCAGGCATGTTCCACGAATGACAAAGAACCTGATCTCCTTGAGTCTACTCGAGAGCAAGGGTTTCAGCTTCAAAGGAAAAGGTGGAGTTGTGTATGTCTGCAAGGGTTCGAGGAAGGTACTGAAGGGCGTGAAGCGTGGGACCTTGTATGCATTACAAGGGTCTGTGTTGTCTGGTTCTGCTGCAGCTGCATCATCTCAGGTTCAACAGGAAGATATGACCACTCTCTGGCACATGAGACTAGGGCATATGAGTGAACGGGGGATGCAAGTTCAATCGAAGAGGGATCTTCTTTGCGGGCACAAGGTGCAGAATTTGGAATTATGTGAGCATTGTGTGTTTGGGAAGCTACATCGCAGCAAGTTTCCCAAGAAGGGTATCCACCGGACGAAGGGGATACTGGATTACCTCCACTCCGACTGTTGGGGTCCTTCACGAGTTGAATCCATTGGAGGCAGCAGGTATTTTCTGTCTATTATTGATGATTATTCGAGGTTTACTTGGATTTTCATGATGAAGCAGAAAAGTGAGGCTTTCACGAAGTTCAAGCAGTGGAAGACATTGGTGGAGAATCAGACCAATAAGAAGATCAAGAAGCTGCGAACGGACAATGGTCTGGAGTTCTGCAGTTCTGAGTTCAACGAATTCTGCAAGGATGAAGGGATTGCCCGTCATCGGACTGTTAGAGATACACCCTAGCAGAATGGCGTTGCAGAAAGAATGAACCAGACATTGTTGGAGAGAGCACGGTGCATGCTCTCTAATGCTGGACTAGAGAGAAGATTCTGGACAGAAGTAGTGAACATGGCGTGCTTCCTGATCAACCGTGGACCTCACACAGGTATCGAGTGTAAGACTCCTTATGAGGTGTGGTATGGTAAGCCTGCTGATTACTCTTCACTGAAAGTGTTTGGGTGTCCTGTTTATTATCACGTGGATGAGGGTAAACTGAACCCAAGGGCAAAGAAGGGTGCATTTGTGGGTTACGGAGATGAAGTTAAGGGATTTCGAGTCTGGTCACCTTCTGAGCATCGAGTTATACTTAGTAGAAATGTGATATTTGATGAGAAGTCTATGTTTAACCCCATGTTGAAGGTTACTGTTGTTGAAGGTAGCAGGAATGTTGATAAGCAGGTGGAGCTGCAAACTCTCAATGAGAGTGAGTTTGAGCACCAAGGTGGAGAAGATCAACATGATGAGGATGTCCCAGCAGAGCCAGAAACTTCAGAGTCCAGTGCACGAGCTAAACAGTCTATTGCTTCCGGTAGACCGAAGAGAGCGACTGCAGGAGTACCTCCACAGAGGTATGGCTTCGAGGACATGGTGGCGTATTCATTTCAGGTTGCTGAAGAAGTGGATGCAGGAGAGCCACAGTCCTATAAAGAAGCAGTTTCGGGTGGTGAAGCTGATCAGTGGCTTGCCGCAATGGGAGATGAGATGGAATCCCATGACAGGAATCAGACTTGGGAGCTAGTCAAACGACCACAGGGAAGGAAGATTGTTACAAACAAGTGGATCTACAAGAAGAAGGAAGGAATCACTTCTAAAGAGGGCATGAAATTTAAAGCTCGGGTGGTTGCACGAGGCTTCTCGCAGAGGGAAGGAGTTGACTACAATGAGATTTTCTCACCAGTGGTCAGACATACTTCGATCAGAGTGCTACTAGCAATAGTGGCACATTATGACTTGGAGCTCGAGCAGCTAGACGTGAAGACAGCTTTCCTACATGGAGAGTTGGAGGAAGAAATTTACATGACTGAGCCAGAAGGATTCGAGGTTCCGGGAAAAGAAGACTATGTTTGTAAGTTGAAGAAGTCCTTGTATGGGCTTAAGCAATCTCCGAGGCAGTGGTACAAGAGATTTGACAGTTACATGCTTGAGCTGGGATACAACAGAAGTCCATATGATTGTTGTGTATATCACAGCAAGGCAGAGGATGGTTCGATGATATATCTAGTTCTGTATGTAGATGATATGCTCATAGCTGCAAGGTCGAAGTCTGATATCCAGAAGTTAAAGGGGCTTCTTAGTGCTGAGTTTGAGATGAAGGATTTGGGAGCTGCTCAGAAGATCTTGGGTATGGAGATTTACAGGGACAGGTCGAAGAAGAAGCTTTTCTTGTCACAGAAGAGCTACATCCAGAAGATACTGTCGAGGTTTGGCATGTCTTCAGCAAAACCCTTAAATACTCCTAGTGCTTCAAATGTTCATCTATCCTCAGCTTATGCACCGCAATCAGAGACTGAGAAGGAGTACATGTCGAGAGTCCCATATGCTAGTGCAGTAGGTAGCTTGATGTACGCTATGGTATGCACTAGACCTGATCTTGCACATGCTGTTAGTGTTGTCAGCAGGTTTATGATACAACCTGGGAAGGAGCATTGGCAGGCTGTGAAGAGGATCTTCCGGTACCTTAAGGGTACACCTGATGTGGGGATTAGCTTCGGAAGTGATGCAGAGTGCTTGGTGTCTGGGTATTCTGACTCGGACTATGCTGGAGATGTTGACACGAGGAGATCGATGACCGGTTATGTATTCACTCTTGGGAGTTCTGTAGTGAGCTGGAAGGCAACTCTGCAGTCGGCGGTGACATTGTCTACTACTGAGGCAGAGTATATGGCGTTGACAGAAGCTGCCAAGGAGGGAATATGGTTGAAGGGACTGGTTGGTGATCTTGGTCTACATCATGATCAGGCAGTGGTGTATTGCGACAGTTTGAGTGCAATATGCTTGGCCAAGGATCAAGTCCACCATGAGAGGACTAAGCACATCGATGTGAGGTATCATTTCTTGAGGACAGAGAAGAGGATTAAGGTGAAGAAGGTTGGCACCGCGGATAATCCTGCTGATATGTTCACGAAGCCGGTTCCACATGGCAAGTTCCAACACTGCTTGGACTTGCTGAATGTCTTGAGTGGGTGACTCCGCCCTACGGGGCATTGATGGCGGGAGAGAGAGAAGGAGCAGAGTACATCAGAGATTTCAGAGGAAGAGGATTCAAGTCAAGGTGGAGATTTGTTGATATGACTTGAATCGGATTATCAGCCGCTACGACTGGTAATCGGGGGTCTCGCTGCCTGGTCAGCGAGTGGGGTCCAGGGGCAACGCTCCGGTGGGGGTGCGGGGGCAACGCCCCCGGCCCACGGTGTATGGGCTCAATGTTATTTGGGTTCGGGTTCTGGGCCTGGTCTGTAACCGTTTCCTTTGCTAGATTGGATTAGGTTTAGACCCACATGGAGAAGTACTATAAATACTTCTCATACTCCTCTGTAATCTCCTCGATATAGTGAAACGGCTCTCTCTCGCCCGTGGACGTAGCTAACACACATCGTGTTAGTGAACCACGTAAATCGTGTGTCGTGTTTTCGATTCTCGCTTTCGTATTCTTGCTTTGTCGATCCCGGCGATTTCCCGATCCGTAGCAGCGCATTTATAACAAAAATGTATACAAATGGTAAATGACTTAGTGAAAAAAGTATGTAGGAGATTTTGATGCAACTAGGTCGAGATTTCCAAGACCTTTAATTGATTACGTATTAGAGCACTTCTACTATGCTATATAGTATTGGTGCTTTAATGTACAACTTAAAGTTGTACCATAACATTAAATGTATAAGTTTAGGTTGTACTATAAAGCAATTTGTACCCTTATGTTATGGTACAACTTTACAACTTGAAGTTGTACCATCACATAAAGGTACAAGTTCAAGTTGTACCATAAAAGAATTTGTACAAAAAGTATAGGTACAATCTAAAGTTGTACCATAACGTAAATGTACAATTTTAAGTTGTAACATAAAGGCAAAATCCTATAGCACGAAGAATTGTAAAATTTCTCTACGTATTAAGCTTTTTTGAAGAATAAGAGCAGACGAGGGGCCTGAAGATTCAACGGTTATATTGTAGCTTAGTCGTTTGTTATCTTCACTGGTAGGAGGATGAAAGTTCAAGGTCGCGGGTTTGAAACTCTCGAGAAAACCATTTTTTTGTCTACTTAAGGATTGAAGGGGCAGATCAGTCATTTACGTGGAGGCCAGAGGTATATAACCAGGCCTGACTTAGGAAAACTCTAATCCCCTTTAATCTGAAACCCTAAGCGGCATAAATCTTCTCTCCCTTCCTGTCCTCTATTCTCTCTACCAAAATGGACCAAAGACCCAAAAAAAAAAAAAGTGATCTCTTTCCTCTTCTGAAATCCGAAACCCTCTCCTTTGATTAACCTTCTTCTTGCTCCCTAGAGGAAAAAGGAGAAAACCTCTCCCATATCTATTGTGCCACTATGGAACCGGCCGGAATCCCAACCTAAAATAAGCCATCGCAGCGTCGGTCAGCTTCCAAATCGACTGTAAGTGGCGGATTATGATTTTGCATGTTCGATTTTCTGAGTTTTTTTGCGTGGCTCAAGGTTCTAACCTTCTTCTCATTTTTATTTTTGGGTTTGATCGAGGGGAGAAAGAAGTCTCCGGCCTGCGAGGCTCCCCGACGACAGTGCGAGAAGGAAAAAGTCGACGGTCGAACTCTATTTATGTGAGTCTTATCGTCGCTTTATGTGGGTTTTGAAGGGGTTTTGGGTTGTTTCTATTTCTGACTTCGATGGTTTGATTTGTTGGGATGCAAGTTTTGGAGATGGCTTACGTCTGGGGAGATGAAACTGGAAAAAAAGGATCATGTTGTTTGTGGGTTGATTCTAGTATGGTTCACAGATCTGGTATTTTGGAAAGATATTTGTGTGGGTGACGATTTTGAATCTGGGAATTTTGTGTTAATATGACTTTAAATTTAGGAAATTTGTGTTTTATGTAGATCTTAAATGGATTTATGGATCTTAGTTTTTGGAAATGGCTGTGCATGCGTGCCTGCTAGTATATGAGACTTTTTTGGTTACTTTGATGATGAGCTCGCCTATTCAACTCGATTGGGATGTAATTTTAGGATTGGAGTTTTGGTTTTATTTTGTATGCATGATGATGAAAAGTTCTTCTCTCTATCTGCTAAAAGTTTTAAGGAATGAAAAAAATAATGATAAATAACATAAAGTAAATAGCATAGTAAGTGGAATGGAAAGTATCGTGAGTAAATGGTAAGTAATTAGCAATAACATATAAGTAGATAGTTATAGGCTAATATGTCTAATAAGTAATAAAGTAAATATGCTTAAAATAAGTAAATAAAGGAACTGTGCTGAATGGAAGAGTGGTAAAGTAAATGAAACTTGTAATCTAGGATTGATTAGTTTCAATCATTTAAAATAAAGTTAGTCATGTTGTAGTTTCATTGGAGTTGATTGATTTTTATTGATAAAAACAAGCGTTGTATATAAATTGTAAGAGTTTGATGATTATGGATGATAATACTAAAAAGTAAAAACAATAATATAGATTATAGAGTTAGTTTGACAAAAAGGGAAGAGTACAAGAAAAGAATAAAAAAGCAGTAAAGTAGTGGTATATCATTAGAACTAGAATATGAATATGAGTTTTGTTGATTACAGACTTATTGGGCTTGTTTGTCTAGAGGCCTTCTACTTCTATTTGACACAGTGAAGAAGAAAAATGTGTGTGATTTTTTTTCTATTTTTTCGGTGTTTCCCCTCTTTTACCCAACTAAGAAAGAACTAAGAAGAGACCATAAGGAAAACTAAGAAGAGACAGAAAATAAAGTGATTTCCTAGTGTTTTCCCATCTTAAAAGTTGTCCCCAATGATGAGAATTTGCCCTCTTATTATAGGAAAAATGAGGCAGTGGTGGCTAGGTTCAGCCAGACTAATTTTGGTTCGACCGGTCTGTTGGATTTGGTCGCTTCTGAGCTGGCCGGGTCGTTTCTAACATTGTGGGCTTGTCTTGGAATTGGGTCTTGACCGAGCCTTGACCTCGCTTGTGGGCTGACTCTGCTTTTGGTTGGGCTCGCTTATGGCCTCTAGTCTTGTAGCCTGGGCTTGAACTTAGACTTGAGGCTAGAATATGGGCTTGAACTGACTCTGTCTCCACTTTGATGCAAGTCCATGGTTGGCTTCAAAAGGGATGCAAGAAACATGTATTGATTGTAATTTGTGATTCTTATTGTAATTACGATTTAGTAATAATTTTAATAATACGTTCTTTTTAATATTATTATTTTTGTTGTGTCAAAAGCTGAGATGATATTTGATTTTACAACAATATCAGATCAAAAGAAAGTCTCCTATTTGATCTACTAGAATCGAATTCAAATAAATTGTACAATCGTCGATGTTTTAGACTCGCAATGGACAATCTAATTATCTTACGACATTTCAAGATTCAATTTAGAATTTTTAGTTGAGTAATTGACACGGACAAATGGGGTGTCTACAACGGTCTTAGTGCAGCCAAAGATCGGAGTACCTCAAGGTACTACACTCCCCGCTCTTTCTGGACTAGATTCATATTATGCAAGGTCTCGACTGGAAAAGACTGTGTCCGGCCAATGATGGCGCAACTCGTGGTGTCGACCCCAAAATGTCGAGCAACCCTCATGATGGTGCCCCAAAGTGCATCGTGTCTACTCGGTCTTATCCCAGCACCCTCGAGAAGATGGTAGCGACCATTGATCCAAGATGAAGTGGTGTTTTGGGTTGGCTCAAGGTATGGAGGGCAATCAACCCTCTGTTGGTCATAGTTAGTAAATGCTCTATTTAATACACGTATATGTACTCGTACGTACTTTATCCGTTTAAAATTTCCGTATCTGTATTATTGTCAAGCCGTTTCATTTTTGTCCGTTCAATTGATAGCTCCCGTATTAATTAAGTATAAAACTCGTATAACAAGTTTATATCCGTATTTAATGAATTAAATTATTAACTTTACTGTTATTTATTCATTTATTTTTAGATAATTAATTTTATTTATTTATGACTATTAACCTACTACTAAACGTAACATTAGCATAGAGACGAAGTTAAATACCCGTACGTATTTTATACGTAACTTTTTCCTATCGTATTTTACTAATTATGCTGTTGGTGGCCATGTGCCCTGACTGAAAACTGGGGATCACTGACCGGGTGAGGAGCGTATGCTCGGAACTGGTGGTCTCGATGCTCTGGCCTGCAGATAGCACTGTAGGCCTCCTGGTAATGGAAGTCACTTGTGTACTCCCACTCTGTCATCGTCATGGCGGTGGTGTCGACGCCCATGGCTTGATCAAACCCATCATAGGTCAGCACGTGATGTTGACCTCCCTGCATAAACTCCACATATGGCATGTTACTTCTGTTGTTGGGTAACTTGTGGATGAAGGTGGAGTAGAACTCCAAACCGAACTCTCTGTAGATGAGCTCATCCACGGATAAAAGACTCTGCCACCGGGGATGGATGAGAACCCCAGACATCGCTGCCCGACACTTGAATATGGTGAACATGTCCAGGTCCAAGAATCAATGCGGTCTCGTATCATTGTTCCTCCACTCTTCGAATCTTTCCCCTACTTGTGATGATTCACCAAGTAGTTAATGTACGGGTGAGCGGTATCCGCCATCCTGCAAAAACATTAAAACTATACACCATACGTGGAAACATTTCATTAGTCTCTAATCGATGGGTAGAAAAGGAATTCCCCTCACACTTAGGATCCCACTTTGGCTATGCCGCTTCAAGGCTTTGCACAAGTCCAATTCTCAAACATTTAAGCTCAATTGCACACAAGGCACACCGAGGCATAGTTCTAGATGCTTCATTAATCAATTAACATAGAAAAATCGAACTTAAACCATGCCTCAACGGCCACCAACCAACATTCACTAAAGAGGGTCAACATTTCTTCAAACCTTGCACTTGGTGGGCAATTTTCTTAATTCAACTCAAATCCTTTCCAATTCGTGCCCAACTCAAATCTTTTGACAAGATTTATTTTTATAATGAACATGAGGCAAAAAGACATGTTTAAACTTACGGTTAGGCGTACTTAGGCACTAGATGACAGTAAAATATCTCACCTAGCTAGAGGTTCCACGTGGTGATCAGTTAGGTGTCTAGAACACAACGATGAAGAAGGGTGACACCTAGAATAATAAGCTGGAGCTCGACAATCAATATCAAAGGGTCAAATTGACATCTTATACAAATTTAATCTTTTCAATAGCTCAAGAACTTTGTGAGCTATTGCACTATGATTCTATAGACTCTGTTTCAAACCATATAATGATTTGTCTAACTTACAGACTTTCGAGGCATGTTCGGGGATAACAAACCCTTCTGGTTGTTCCATATAGATTTCTTCATCCAGATCACCGTTCAAAAAAGCGGTCTTAACATCCATTGGTGTACCACGAGATTGTTCAAGGCAGCAAGAGAAATCATAACACTAATGGATGTTATTCTTGATACTGGTGAATAGGTATCAAAGAAATCTATATTCTCTCTCTGCCTGTAGCCCTTAACTACTAGGCGAGCTCGGAACCTTTCGATTGCACCATCAGGTTTCCGTTTCGTTTTTAGAACCCATTTATTACCTAAGACTTTGCAGCCAGGAGGTAAGTCTGTTAGATGTCAAGTCTTATTTGCTTCTAACGATTCCATTTCATCTATAACGGCCTCATTCCAAAAATCTGCATCTATGGAAGTTAATGCTTCATGCAAACTTTTTGGATCTTCGAGGGTGTATACTGTAGTAAAGTCATCACCAAAATCTTTAGAGATTCTAGATCTTTTACTTCTTCTGAGTTCATCCTCAGAACCAACACCCCCACTAGTTCCATTATCTCTAATTGCGGGTAGTACATTACCCCCACTATTTCTCGTTTTAAATGCAAATCGTGTCTCAAAGAAATCAGCATCAATGGATTCTACTATAGTACGAGCATTCAAATCATAGAATCTATATGCCTTACTATTGGCCGCATAGCCAACGAAAACACATTCATATGCTCGACTAGCCAACTTAATCCTCTTAGGATCCGGAATTCTTACGTAGGCCAAACAGCCCCACGTTCTTAAATAGGACAGATTAGGTGGCTTATTCTTCAAGATCTCATAGGGTGATTCTTTTCTATTTGTCTTTGGAAGACGATTTAACACAATATCACCCCACCAAGAAGAAGCAGCTCCAGAATTGAGCATAATAGCCACAACTAATTCTGTAAACGTCCTATTTTTCCGCTCAGCTTTACCATTCATTTCTGGTGAATATGGTGTCGTGGTTTCATGAATGATACCATGTGAGCTATAGAATTCCTTGAAGGGATTAGAGTCATACTCTGATCCTCTATCACTCCTAAGTCTTTTTATCTTTCGATTGCACTGATTTTCGAATTCAATCACAAATACCTTAAACATATCAAGGGCATCACTTTTGTTTTTCATCAAATAAACAAAGAAATAATCAGAGCAATCATCTATGAAAGTGATAAAGTATCTCTTGCCAGACCTAGTTAACGTCCCATCTAATTCACAAATATCAGAATGAGTGAGATCTAAGGGTTCTGATTCTCTACTCACAGATTTATGGGGCATTTTCGTTATCTTAGCTTGGCTACAGAAATCACATTTATCAAATTCATTCATTGAGAGTTTAGGGATATGTCCTAGCTTGCTTAAATTCTTTACAATTCGTGTGTTCACATGACAAAGACGAGCATGCCAGACATTCAAATCACACACCATGTAAACTGAAGAATTCATCTTATTAATTTCGACATTCAACTTGAACATCCCATTGCATGCATATCCCTTTCCCACAAAACTCTCATTCTTAGTAAGGGTATATAAGTCTGCCCCAATAGATTGATTAAACCCGGCCTTATTAAGAAGATATCCCGAAACTAGATTCTTTCTTATCTCTGGAGTGTGCAACACATCCTTGAGCACCACCTTCTTCCCAAAGGTGAAGTTCAGCTCCACTTCACCAGAACCAGCAACCATAGTGGTGTGAGTAGTCCCCAACATCACTTTCTTGTCAGCAGGCGCTTCTGTGTATGTTTTAAACATAGCACGATGTTGCATACATGTTTCGACGCACCTGTATCTAGCCACCATCCTTCTGAGTCACCAGTGAGGTTGACTTCAGCGATCATATCCGTGATCATGGCTACCAAATCCTCTTCTGTCAAGTTAACCCTGGCCGCAACAGCAGGGTTATGCTTGTTCCTGCACTTTTTTGCCATATGACCCGGTTGACCGCAGTTATAGAAGATAAACGGTGGGTCATTCTTAGAGGTTTGGGCCATGACCCTTTGGTTACCTCGAGAGGCACCATTCTGATGGGGGCGGACCTGCTGGTTCTTACTCTTAAATCCTTTTTGGTTAGGTTTAAGAGCTCTAGGGGTGGGTCGTTTATCAGTGACACCATCACCTCTTCTTTCATATCCTTCTTGCGGAACTCTTCCTCAATCCTTAGGCGAGTAATCAAGCTTTCCAGTGAAAATTCTTTGGTTTTATGCCTAAGCATATTCTTAAAATCTTTCCACGAAGGGGGCAGCTTATCAATAATGCAAGCAACTTGAAATTGATCGTCCAGAGGCATACCTTCAGAGACGATCTCATGAGCTATTTTCTGAAGTTCGTGGGACTGAACTTCGACGGACTTATCATCCACCATCTGGTAGCGCAGGTAGCGGCTGACAGCATACTTCTTAGCTCCAGCCTCCTCCGTGTCGTATTTCTTTTGGAGCGCATCTCAGATCATCATGGCGGTGTTCTTGTTGTCCGCATAGTAGTCGTAGAGATCGTCTTCCAGGCCGTTGAGGATGTAGTTCTTGCACAGGAAGTCATGCTCCCTTTCCTCTGCAGAAGCAGCCATCTCCTCATTGGTCGCTTCTTCCGACAGCTCGACGGGCATGCTGGTGAGGCAGTGTGCCAACTTCTTGGTTGTCAGGTAGAACTCCATCTTTTGTCTCCAGCGACGGAAGTTGACTCCAACGAAGCGAAAGGGTCGATTGATATCGACAGCACCAGATCCGGCCATGTTGTTTTGTTCAGTCGATATAGCAGCAGCCGAACGTCTTAAAATTGTTAACAACAGAACAACAACAAGGAACAAGGGTACCAAATCTGGAGCTGAGTCACGGACTAGGTCGCTCTCTTTAAG